TAGTCTATGCACATTATGGGGCAAGTACTGCCATCAGAGACGGACGTGATCTATCACCGACATCCGTGGATCCATTACTTCATATCACTTGCTCTTGCATTTGCTGATAAGATCTGCGATTTATACCTCTTAAGCTTCAAGTCTGATAACATAGTTTACCAAAGTTAAACCACTATTAGGATAGTTTACTAAATTAATTAATGAATTAAAGTAGAATCTTTAATTTACTTTATGGAGCATGACTTTGTAAAGGCTTGGTCGTTCATGACGACGCTCTAGTTTAATATTTTTAATGGGATGGCCTGCAGAAAGCACGAGTCATTCCAGTGACTTAGAGCTTCATTGTTGAAATTGAATCGAGATTAACCCTATTATGAGACCACCCGCATGTGTCTGAATACTGATTGTAACATTGATCTCTCTTACTTTGCTTTAAAACGCCCATGTACTCACAATTTACCTTCACAATTACCCTCGAGCTGTATTTCGTTCCAGTCAAATATTGGATGAGCTTGAAGCAAATGATGCATGCCGTTTGCTCTTTATGGGTGGTCTCGACATTTCCCATTCACATTCTAAGACAAAGCTAGTTTTATATTGCCTCAAGTAACTAGACATTTTATTTCTAACACTCGCAGAGATTCCTTGAAAAGGAAAGTTGTCGGTCCACTTGTGGCAGACATGCTAAAATTCGTCTCTAAGAAGCGAGTCTTACCTGCCACTGTCTTTAACCAAATTCAGTACAAATACAGGATTTTTGATACATCCAATTTCAAATCTTAATGCATTGAAATAAAGAGGTTGTTATGAGTTTTTGCTCCTTCATTAGCATTCGTATTTCGAGGGAGTGTATTCTCACGCGAAAAGTGCTCATTGGTGGCGCGTTGTGTGAGATAAATATTTGTATAGTAGGTACACTTAGCACTCGGAACCCTGACCTTGGCAAAGAAGACACACGTAAACTTTACACAAATAATAAATTATCGTTTTTTTTAACGCAAGTGTTTATAAACACGAATTTAGCTCAAGTATTTTGTGTCCTCTGAGATCATCAAATATTTTATAGTTTTTACGAATAAAACGCTGTTGGGTGTAGCTGGAGTGTAGCTGTGTCATCGTTTTTCCAACAATATTTTTTCCGAGTATGATTCATCTTGTACCTACAGTATTACCTACTGTACATAGTAAGCCCTTTTCCAGTGTGATTCAATATGTTAAGAATTTAATTAATTTCAACGTAGAGTCCCAGACGACGGCGTCAGGCACATGGCGGGCGCCTGGGTGCTGTGTCCCGACCAAAATAGATGGCGGTTATTTATACGTGCCGCGTATCCGCCTGGCGCACGCGCAGCGCCGTATCCGCACGTTAGACACACAGCGTGAATATTTCACCACGGACAGTACTATCCACAACCTTCATCAATAACGCATCTTTCAAAAATAGGTAAACGACGCGCCGGCTATAAATCAAGAAGCTTTCAACAGAGCCGGTAATCGATCATCAATCATGAAGCAAAATGGCGATAAAAAGGGGTGGGACGGTGTGGTTATGAAAGGATGCCGATTCACGGCTTAATGCAGCTAGATGTGGGAAATAAGTATAGTCTTGCAGTAATAGTTGATGGCATCAAGTCTCCTCGTAGGAGCCTTTTAAGGCCGCTGTTCCGCCGCTAATGTAAAATGTTGTATTTCAAGGTGATATGTTTATGTTACCAACTGTTATGGCAAACCGTACACAAACAGGTCGCACCCAGCCAGTGATGTAACTACGGTGATGTTATCTCTTGTTGCTATTTATAAAGCGCTCGAAAAATTCATTCCGACTGCTTTAATTTGTGACGTGTAGATGAATGGCATTGACGTTAGTTAACAAATTGGAAGAGTATGTAGTTGGTATTCGCTTTATTGACACGAATTTAGCTATTGTACACCGTTTCAGAAACTAGTGCCTATCGTTATCTGAATTTTAGTTGTCAATGTTTAGTAACGATACAATTACCAAGGAGTCGAGATTAGATATCATTAAATTAAGAATTTCAACGTAAAACTCAAATAAACAATACCTCCCAACACACGAGCGATAGCAACGGAATTGATTACACAAAAAGCAGGACCGGGTAATGACATTGTGTAATTGTTGAAACGCCAGACAAACTAGTTGGGACGACCTTCGTTAATTGAATAGATGAAGAAGATTACAATCGCAGCTAAATTAAATAAATTACACACATACAAACTCACACACACAACACTAAAAGAGAATACGAGTGCCAATGCACGAAGAGAGAGATGATCGAATCAGTGTACCTATTAATTTTCTTATGAATGTTTAGTCATGTCTACATGATTCGTGTCTACAAATAAAACGTGATGTGGGTCATGGCTTCCCGCAAACCTTGTTTGATTTCGTACCCTACATAAGAATTGGCCTTAAGTCTTGATTTTCCTTGCTTATGATATCATTGCATTCGTCTGAAGCTCAGCAAAATTTAATTTGAGTGATAAATGTTTTACTTAGCGTTAGTCCGTTCGTGAATATTTATTGCTATGCTAAGTTTCGTGCTTAATGCAAAACATCTGCCCTTTGGTCTCATAATTTCGCAATGTTCGCTGTCAATCCATTAAGTTGAATATTTGCTTTGGCATGTACTCTAAGAACAGTCATAAAGACTAATAACTCTAACGGAGATAAGGTTAAGTGGCACAATAGTCGTAAATTGGTATAGCCTGTCTTATGAGTTGAACTAGAACTAGCTTAAATCCATAACAATCGATTTATGATACATTCGTTGTCTTCACAAGAGATTGGATCAATTCAAGATTGGCTTTCAATGAAATCGTACACGGTAATATTACCCGTTAACGTATGATTATCGGGATGTGCCATAGGGGTTCGGCTCTTAGCGTGTTCGTGACTTCGGGTCGTAAAGTTTAGATCCCGTGGTAAATGCACAATTACTATGTTGCATGCCACATCAATCTTCCCACAGTGGTTGTAGAGAGCTGGGAGTTCGACATTTCATAAATGACTGTATTTTATTTTACAAGTTCTTAGACTGGATAGCTGATTAATGTAACAGCAAACTGAAAATTATATTCCCCATTAGGTATAACCGAAGGCTCGGAACCATTTTATGTGCTTATATGGTTTAAGATGGAGAGAGTGAACATCGATGGCAATTATGTTATCCACGTCTTAATTGCCGTTATTTATTTAATTGCTGTAATATGTATCCTCCACTATAACAATTTCTCCGCAGTATGTCAGTAATTCATTAAAAGCTCTGCACGTATTTGTAAATCGCAATCTCGCTATATCGGTCAATAGTCGTAAATTGTTAGCCATTGACAGTCAAAGAGAACATTCAATACATTACTAAAGTTAAAAGTCAAGTTACATTTGATTTGGTAGGCGCCTGCATTGCACGCATAATTAATTTGCGCAAGCGCAGGGAATCACAATAGCAGATGTTTGAACAGCTGGTGGCCATATTGGATTTTATATACGTAAGTAACGTCAGAGTACGTTGAAAGTGCATGTTTAGTCATATGACATGCTTGACACATGTTAATGCACACTGCAAATAAAACAGTGTGCAGTAAGCATAACTGAGAAAATCCAATAGCCGTAATTAGGACTTCACGAAATAATCGTACTTATACTGGGATATGTTTCTGGATATCTCGGAAGTTTGCGTCTGTGATGAATGTATAGGACTCCGAACAAGTGTCCAGTCAGGGGTTAACGACTTGATTGGCCAAGATGGCGATTCGCGAACGTGCTAAGTGGATGATGACGGCTCGCTAAACCCATTTTAGTAACAGGTCCAATAAATTATTTCTTGACTGCTTCTTAGAATTATAACAAAGAAAGGTTGCTACTTATTGAATAATTGATACGCAAATTAGATTCAAGTTCGATGACATGTCTCTGGGATAAAACAAACGGCTTGGTAGAGAAAACTGTACCAGAGCAGGGCATAGATAAGATACAATATATCAACAAGTTCTTTGATGTGCTACTTTCTGGTTACACTATCCTGAACATTTTATGAAGCAGTATCTAATCTTCGCTCTTTTGTAACGATCATATAGAGTAAATGAATGGAACCGACTTGGCTCTCTATAGTGGGACATTTGCAAAAAATGCAGAGCACGCAAATTAGGAGTTACTGTTTGAGTTCAATGAACCCTTTCTGTGTAACAAAATGTTATTGATGGTCGAATGTGGATAGCTTTTAAGCCAATTTAGATCGTTCATATGATCGATACTGCAATTATTTAGCCAGCGTTCGCTAATAGTGGAGCCGGAATCTAGAGGCGAAGTAATTGTTCCAGTAATGTTAATTGCTGTTCTCTTCAGTCGGTTGTTAGGTATCTAATTCGTGCCACGGTCCGACCAAACACGTTAATGGGAAGATTTATTGACTGAAACACGGTTACCGGTAGCCAGCACTGAGAAGTCCGGTGATAGGGTATCTCACACTGACAGATTATTCCTAGTACCAACTTAGGTTTTGCTATCAGTTTTTCTCTTGAATTTATAAGCTGCGTAGTACCTAACTGGTCCTAACTATTTATAAAGCCGGATAAGTGGTGCATTTAACCTGTTAAAATTCATAGCGTTTGAATTTTATCTTTAAGTTTTACATGTCGGTTTCACTAAGGTAATTGTTGGGTAATTTGTCTCCTGTTTGCCAACATACTATGGAGATGAGAAAACAGTTGATAGTGGTCATACATACCACACAGTTAACTAATAGGGTTTATGCAACTGCATTACAATACCGTTTCACAAGCAACTAATGCGTAATGACAGCTATTCATCTGAAGGACCACTTTCACTGGACGCCCACCAGTTTTTCTGGAGTGGGCGATAGAGAAAGCAATATGCTAATCGAACTCATCTGGATGACACTTGAATAGAACGCCTTAGATATGTTAATGGTCACAATAAATCGTTTAATATAACTGTTAACACTTGTTCTTTCTGTTTCCAGGTAAAGGTGAGCATTCAGAACCAGAAACTAGTTTCTTATCGTAAGTGCGATTGGAGGTAAGCAACGACGAAATTGGTGGAGCATTAATGTCTGCAGTTCAATGTGATAATACAGTTGGTTGATTTCCATGCTCTAATTGGTCGGGTACACAATACCAAATTAATTCGAGCAACGAACGGAGCTGATTAAAATGACATAAAAGTTACTACTGGTTATTTTATCGTGGGTATTGAGATTTATGAGCTTTACGCTTTACTGGGAAGTAATGAATGGGAATGAAAGCAAAACTAAATGTTATTATGGTCACAAGGTCGGGTAAGGGAATACTTTTCATTTCGCTATTCTTAATTTTAATAACAAGAGGACCTCTAAAGAGACATAAGATGAGGAAGAATTGAACAGAAGTTACATTACGCCAAAGTCAAGTAATTAAGGGACAAAGTAGAAAGATTGAATTATATAGAACAATAAGTTCAACCCTTATTAAGTGAAAGTTAACTAAATTAAAATGGGCTTGTAAAATGTTCATGCCTCATCGAAGAAAATAACGTGATGTAGTGTTACACAAGACCAACCTTTCAATAATAAGACAATTTTCTTATACCATGCGTGAAATATTGCATCCGATACGCTGAACCGAACCGATGTATAATGTTTCCTATCTTATTAAGTAATCATCTTCAACTTTCTGATCGCATTATTCATCATCAATAACGTATTACCTTACAATACAATCTTTATTACTCTCTTGATCCACTTTGATCCTAAAGAAAGCCTTACCATTGTCAGCAACGACCCACGCATTAAAATTGCGTTAAATAAATTCATCCTACGCTGCATAGTTTGTATTTGTGGCACTTCTAAATCATTTATTGTTATTTAGGTCATAGGTATGTTGCTATATGCTAATATGGGTCTATAGTACACCGTTACTGCTATCGTTGCTCTTATAAATATATCATACTTGGATAGTTGGACCGCTTGAATAAAACCTGATGTCGAGTTCGGTGACCTATACTCTAAATACTATCTTTCGATTGTAAAGCAAATACTAAGTCTTCTATTTTAGCTTATTGGTCTTGCAAAGTAAGTCCATTAATTGCGTTGTTACTTGCAAATCTTAAGATGAAAACTTGATTCCTTTTAGTAACTTAACAATAACAGTTAGCACCGGTTCAGTTTCAACAAAAACTAGTATGAACTACTTGAACTAGCGGTGACTTGTCAATGAAATCGATTTTATCAATGAGCCTATCTGACGTACGGCCCTTTGATTTTTAATTCCATGTAGGCGTCGAAGTAATTCCGCCTGTTTGCTTTTCTTAAATTCACTGTCATTACAACATCATCAAACTAATTGTTGCTTTTCTGTAATGATATTTTAAATGCCATGTTGTATCCTGGAAAAAAAATTCGGGTAGTCAACAAGTAAACATTAAAATTGCGAAGCTCTGGTTTATAAATTATTTTAAAATAATTACACTTATATTTGTATTGTTTTGATGTGTTGAATTAAATAGTAATCAGTGCCACCTGCCTGCCAAGTGTTTTCAACCACTTACAGAAGCATTATATGTCACTTAACCCTATACATAACTTGCACTTGGTTATATCATGGAAGAGGTCCCACGTCTAGTGTCTGAGATGACCAGCATGTTTAAAAAACGCATGGCTGACTTCGAGCGGCAGCAGAGAGATAACGCAGGCGCAGCAAATGAAGCCACACCAGTGCTCTCAGCAGAGTTCACAGCGTTCCGGAGCTTTATTATGCAGTTTCTCTGTGTATTCCAACAGCAAGTGAGCTTCATGGTGCAGAGTATGGACGATATGCAGATGCGCAGCCGGCGTAAAATACTTCTTCTGCATGGTGTGCCTGAGTCAGATGCAAAGGAGGAAGATACTAAGCAAGTGGTGGTAAAAGTTGTCAAGGACCGCCTTAAGCTTGATATAAAACCAACAGACGTCAAGCGGTGCCACCGTATGGGGCGAACCTCACAAAAGGCTCGACCCATCTTGCTCAAGCTGCATGATGTGGCTCTCCGCGATAACATCTGGCGTGGCAAAACAAAGTGCAAGGGCTCGGGTGTTACAATCTCGGAGTTCTTGACAAAGACCCGACACAGCGTCTTTATGGAGGCTCGGGAGAAGTTCGGCGTCAGTCAGTGCTGGACGAGGGAAGGCATTATATTTGTCCTTGACTCAAAAGGTGTTCGACATCGATTGACTTCCAGGAACGACCTCGATACTATCGTTCTCCAACAACCTGAGCAAGGTGCTGCTGAACCTGTCGTTGCAGCTACTGGAAAGGTGGTGCCCAAGGCAAGGCGTGCAGCATCTCGAAAATAAGTATTTTCTTTAGTTACATTTTCTTGATTTTCTGTAGGTAGTCTGGGTAAATTAGTTGCTTTTATTAAATGGTATTAATTGTCGTATCACCTTCACTTTAACTTTATGTATTTTCTAACTTGTACTCAGATACGGTAGTAGTATTATTTTATTTATTTACATGTAATTTTTGTTTTCGTAACTCATACTACTATCATTGTCACTCATGTCATCCGTCACTGTCATGCAGATTATAAACTTATTTTTGGTCATAATTTTTTTTTTTTTTTTTCTTCTCTTTGATTCATTGTGGTCCATAGATTTCATAGATGTTTATAAAGATTTTCATACAACTGTCATTGGTACTTAGCAGCGTTTCGTTCCACGTACTGCATGCGCTCGCAACATGTAATGTTAATAATTTTTTTTGTAACTCATTATATTATGTACTTATTTTTATTAGTCTTTACATTTCATGTTGTTTTTGTTTATATTTATTTATTTGTATTTTTATTTTTTATTTTATTTTGCTTTTCTACTGTTTTGTTATCTAATTTTTGTGATGTCGTAATGCTGTGATGACGTGACATTTTTGTTTTTGTTGTTTGTTTTTTATTTATTTTTTTCTCTCAGGCTAACTGGCAGGTGGAGTGCAGAAATTGAACACCAACCTTAGACATATTTATTATTTTATATTTTGAACTTGTTTTATTCTATTATTATTATTACTTATATATATACATATCTATATATATAATATACATATATTACTTCATAATACATTATTAGGTACATACATAAATTACACAGCCATGTTTAACTCTAGTATCAGCGATGAATCAGATACGTATTTATCATTAACTTCAGATGATGAAAGTATCTGTAGTTTGCCGCCCTTAAATGAAACACTCGCGTCTGTGTTTTCTGATGCATCTCCGAACTTCAATGTGGTCCACATTAACGCCCAGAGCATTCCGGCTCATTACACTGATATGCTGGCTATTTTCGATTGTGCGTATATTCATGCTATTCTGGTGTCAGAATCGTGGCTGAAACCTTGTCTCCCTTCTTCCTCTTACTCTCTTCCGGGGTTTAATTTGATAAGGAATGACCGTGCGGTTGGGGGTGGGGGTGGTGTGGCCATATATCTCCGCAACAATATTTCCTTTACTGTCCTGAATATGTCCGCGCAGCCTCCTCCTCAGAGTGCTGGTGAACACCTCTTTCTGGAGGTCGAGTTGCACCGCTCTAAAATTCTTCTTGGCGTGTATTACTGTCCTTCTCTCCGTATCAATTTCTTCTCCTCTTTCGAACTGCTCCTAGAAACATTCGTACCCTCATATGATCACTGTATCATTATGGGGGATTTCAATACATGTTTGTTGAAAAATGACACTCGTTCCGCTTCCTTTTCCAGGTTAATTAAGTCTACTAATCTTTCTATCCTTGACCTCAATGCTACTCACCACTTTCCCAATTCAGTTCCTTCTCTTCTTGACCTAATTTTAGTTTCTTCTCCGAACCACGTTGTCAAACATGGACAATGTCCAGCTGATGCCTTCTCATACCACGACCTCATCTATACTTCCTTTAATATTCGTCCACCCAAGCATAAGTCGAAAATTCTCTTTCTTCGCAATTTTGAGGGCATGAATATCGAGCGCCTTCGGGAGGATGCTGCTAACATTGATTGGACGCCTTTGGTTGAATCAGCGTCGGTTGACGAACAGGCTGAAATCTTGACTGCTACCCTTATAAACCTGTATGACAAGCACGCACCGGTCAGGGCCGTCAGGGTTAAGCATCTCCCAGCACCTTGGTTAACTGAGGAGATAAAAAACCTGATGGCTAAAAAAGCTGCTGCAAAATTTAAATTTAAAATCCAGCCTAGTGACAGCAACAGGGTAAAATATATTAGAATTAGAAACCAGTGCAACAAGGTGTGCAGGAATGCCAAACGCCAACACATTCATAAATCTGTTGAAAATAGTGATCCGGCTAAAGTGTGGAAGTTCCTTAAATCATTAGGTATTGGAAAACATACCCAAAACTCTTTGCCTAAAGATCTAGATTTAAATTTTCTTAATTCTCACTTCTCCTCCACACCCACTTTAGATATGGCCACTAAAACTGCTACTTTAAACTCTCTCTCTCTACTTCCGTTACCAAATTTTTCTCCTTTCGACTTCAGTCAATTTGCCGCATGTGACGTTAGGAGGAGCATTCTGTCGACGACATCGAATGCCGTTGGTGGTGACTGTGTTAGCCGCAAAATGATTATTCCTATCCTCGATCAAATTACCCCTGTCATCCTTTTTGTCCTAAATTCCTCGGTCTCCAACAGAGCCTTCCCTCAAATTTGGAAAGAAGCTCATGTAATACCTCTTCCCAAGAAACCAAATCCTGCTTCTTTTTCCGATTTTCGTCCTATTTCCATTCTTCCATTCCTGTCTAAAATCCTAGAAAAACTTGTCCATCATCAATTTAGTTCTTTTCTTACCAGGCACAGCCTCCTTAGTCCCTACCAATCTGGTTTTCGCCCGGGGCACAGCACTACCACGGCGCTCGTAAATATTACTGATGACATTAGGTCGGGCATGGAGTCGGGGAAGTTGACGTTACTTATCCTACTCGATTTCAGTAACGCTTTTAATACAGTTGACTTCGACGTTTTGCTTGGCGTGCTCAGCTCTCTTAACGTATCAGCATCGGCTATTGACTGGTTTCGTAGTTACCTATTTGGTCGCCGGCAGCGTATTCACTCTGACGATCGTTATTCTTCTTGGTGTTGTACTGCTGCTGGTGTGCCACAGGGTGGTGTTCTATCCCCTTTACTCTTCGCCCTATTTATCAACTCTATCTCTAAAGAACTCTCTTCTTCCTTCCACCTCTATGCCGATGATCTGCAGATCTATACGCAAGCTTCACTTAATGAATTACCAGATGCTGTTGCTCTAGTTAACCGCGACATGGCACGAATTAGCGATTGGAGCATGAAATATGGCCTGCGTATTAACCCATCCAAAACACAGGTGACGGTTGTCGGCAGTTCAAGGGCTGTCTCCAGAATTGACTGGTCTACTCTTCCCCAAGTATCTCTGCTTAACACAAAAATTCCTTTTTCCTTCGAAGTCAAGAACTTGGGGATTTACATTGACAGTACTCTCTCCTGGTCTAAACAGATGCAGGAGGTCAGTCGCAGAATGTTTGCCTCGGCGGGATCCTTGAGGCGTCTTCGAAATTTCTTGCCCACTACTACTAAAATTGCATTAGCACAATCCCTACTTCTACCAATCCTCGACTATGCTGATGCCAGCTATCTTGATCTCACCCAAGAACAATTAGACAAGCTTGAGCGCCTTCAAAATCTTTCTATCAGGTTTATATTTGGATTGCGCAAATATGACCATGTCTCCGAGTTCCGCAATAAGCTCAAATGGCTGCCTATTCGCCTTCGCCGGAATACTCACATTCTTTCACTTCTATACAATGTACTCTTTAATCCCACTACCCCTTTCTATCTAAAAGAGCGTTTTACGTACCTTGGCAACTCACATACGAAGTTTTTAAGATCATCGGAGAGCTTGAAATTAAACGTCTGTTTGCATTCCACTACATTTTTCGACAAGTCCTATACAGTACAAGCAGCACGGTTGTGGAATGCTCTACCGATTACAGTGAGGCGAGCTCAAACCATATCACAATTTAAAAAACTAGTTAAAGAATTTTATCTAACTTTATAGTTTTTTCTTGTCTCCTACTTAACATGGTAACACACGTACACATACATGCATAAACGCACACACGCACACTTACACACCATTATGTATTATGTTCTATTTTATTCTTATTTTTATAACTTTTATGTAGGCATATACATGCATATATTTATTTATATATATATATACATATATATATATTTTATTTATACATATTATGGTTTACACGGTATTATTATTATTATATTATTATTATTTTCTTTTTAAAGTCTTTAACTTGTACACTTGACGACCCATATCTGACTCCTATTACAGCTCCATCCAAAGGTTGTCTGTAAGAGATCGCCTTGTGCGATAAGACCGCCCATTGTGCACTATATTAATTGTTGTTTGTCCTATGTGTTTATGTGGTGTACAATAAAGAATATTATTATTATTATTATTATTATTATCCTCATTAGCATTTTGATGTCCTTATGTCATGTCATTGTTGTATTATGCTGCAATATTAAAGGTGAGTGTGGCACGAATTCGGCTTGCATGTAAAATGTTCGTCGTCACGCGATGCTTTGAAGATAGTTTAGTAGTTATTACAGATGTTTCCTGCATGAGATGACTGGATTTGTAATGCGGGTGTCGTTTCGCTAACGGTACGTCCCCACGTGCTCCATTGTTCCCCGGCTTGTCATGATTCCGTAATTTACTGTTGCATTTTACGCTTTCTTCCGTCTCTGTCATCAGTCATGTTGTTTACATGTAACTTGTTTGTTGACGTTTTTTGTTTAGGTTTTTATGTAACCCGTCCAGACTTTTAGTTCTATTTTCTTCTAACAGTCATTTACTACATTATTTTGAAATTTTGCGTGTGCGGCTAATTGAAGTTTGCGTAGGACGAAATTGTCCACGTTAAGTCATTTGGAAAACAGGTCAATTTAACCTATTAAACTGAATCGATTACGATCTGTGTGTAGATGCATGTATACAATGGTATAGTGCACACCGTTAACTGCTGCAACCTTCGTTGGGAACGTTAAGTGCGACACCGGACATTCGCTCTTGAAGTCAGAGCCATAAAATCCCTAATTTATTACCTCCATTTCAGGTAAGTAGTACGATTGTACGTTCGAATCAGCAAATATGAATCCAACCTCCTTGAGATAAGATCTTTTCTCACATGTCCGTGTATGAGATCTACTTATCGATAAATAAAATTTATTTATGCTGTGATTACTGTTCAATTGTATTGTGGTTTATTGATGTCGGTTTTCGATTTGTCATTTATTTCTTTTTACATATCTCGATTGTAAGTACAGGCAACGTAGGTTTGCTTGCTTCTCAGTTTTTGTGGCAGCTGTTGACATTGCCTTTCAAAGTACTTCGATGTGGTTTTTTAACAGCTCTCCAAGGTCTTACATTAATTCCACTTTTTGTATAAGCTATACTGCTATTTAATTCGCTTTATTTATAAATAATGAATTCTTAAGACTTCCAGTCTATGATGTTCACACTTACCTACAGGAGCAAATACACTCGTAAGTTAAACCTTTATAAAACTGCACATAGTAACGACCACCATTGGAATCTAAATAGAATCGTCCGTTAGATTGGCAAATTAGTCTTGTGACAACCATTACCAACTACCAACCACCACCTCATACGTTTACATACATTAGAGAACGAGGAAATCAACATATAACCTTAAAAGGCAAACG